TGGACAACAACGATCCCGTCAATGTGATAAAGATCCGTTGTCTTGACGCAGTCTCGGACGCCGCAAGAGACAAAAGACTTGTAGATAGTAACCGATAAGAAGAGGAGCAATTTTTTAGTAACGGTACACATTGTAGGAGATAAGTGGTAGTGGTAGTGGTAGTAGTAGCAATAGGGATATAGGCAGAAGTAGTGGCGGCGAAACGGTAGTGAAGGCAATCGTAGTTATAATGGTAAAAACAATAACGACATCGACAATAACGATGATATCGACGATAGCGATAATGGGGGGGAAAAAAAAATGCTAGAAATAAGAATTTCGAGTTAAACAAACGAGTATGGTAAAAAAAAAAAAAAGATCGTGTAACGAGGCATGCTGCGAGTGCGCGCGCGAATCGCACTGAATGTTTGATTGGTTGTTATACACATATGCGCGTAAGAGTTTCTCAGAAGCCAAACTAATTTTTTTAATTGCACTGTTATATCGTACAATTATATATAAATCGAAGTCAATTGTCGTGGAGGAAGACGAATGATTTACTTTATCAGAAGTTTATCATAAGTAATGATTTTAAAGGTGAATTTAGAAAATGTTTTAATTTATGGAGTTGATCGATGTGGCTTTTGAAAGGATCGCCTCTCGAAAGCCAGACTGCTCAGCTTCTCAATTTTACTTTCAATTCTCAAGAAATATGATTTCATTCGCGTCCAGAAAGTAATAAGAATGATAGTAAATTAAAAAAAAAAGAAAAAGAGCGAGTATGAAGTTGATTAGCGTGGCTTCTGAACGAGCGAATCACAAAACTGTTCGCAGCATCATCCCGCGCTCGAAACTTCGAACAATTCGTATCAATGAAAGTCGTAAAAAAAAAAATAAAGAAATTTATTATAATATAATACTTATTATATTATAGTAAAGGAGATAATATAGGAGGCACATATACGTATAATACGATTTGCTTTGGAAATTCATATTGTAAAACGGTATTAAATCGAGTCGGTCAGTTCAAAGTCGACGATTAAAAGGGGGAGAGAAGGGGAGAGTACGAGTATCTCTGCGATTCGACTGCATGTGTGTATTATCTGGATTATGACCAGGCTGTGGAACGAGAGCACGAGAGCGCGTCCCCGGCCATACCAGGTCTCTCCTCTTTTCCCTTATCGTTCGAAAGTTTCGACGCGACTAAATTCGAATGGATTAGAATCCCGTAGGGCTGCGCGCTCGACGGACGCGGACTGTTGACCTAGAACAGTGATTTTCGTGAAAGTTTAGAACGAGAATTCTTGCGACACCGCACGCGCACCGCACGCACCGTGTACGTTACGTTAGCGTTTCAGAATTCAAGACCAACATCGAACTCTCGATCCGTTTGGGTGCGGGCAAAGATTAAGGCTGTGAATTTCGAATTTAGGACGTGGGATCCCCCTCCCCCCCCTCTCCCGTGGGGTATCCCTGTGATATCGCGATCGTAAAATCATTTCCAAAGATATTCTTCTGCTGCGCGTCCGGCAAAAGGCCGACGAACCATCGACGCGGGCTTCACCCCAGTCTATTATTCTTTTTCTCATTTTTTTTTTTTTTTTTTTTTTTTTTGTTCTTCTCCAATTCAGCGAACTCTAGATTAGACCACGTAGAAATTACCACGTCGATGGTTCGTTTGCGCTTCATCATTAGGAAATTTACATGTGGCGCGTGCTCGAATTTTTCGCGGAGCACCGCAACTGTGTTCACCCGCCGACCGCGAGTCTGTGTTACTTAATGTTATTCTCTTCTTTTCTTCTTTGTTTTTTTTTTTTTTTCTTGTAACGACCGTTAAACGTAATGCTAATTTCTCTGTTCTCATCAGATCGAGCCTACAAGTAATTTTAATTATTAATAATTGCGCGTGCCTCCTCTTCGCACGAAATAAATCGATGTTTTGTATCTCCATGGAAATCAATGATGCGGATACATGTGGATACATGTATGTACTCACGATCGAAAAGGGCGAATATGATTGTGTTTGTGATGTTGTTGGAAATTAAGAAAATTACATTATTCGTTTTTACTCGTCCGTTCGATTCAGGAGTCGATGACCTTCCCTCCTTTTCGCTCTTCCTTCTCCGTAGGATAGTCATTTCGTATTTTTTTCCAGCTGTACTCGAAACACTGTCTCGTTAAAAAGAGAGAGAGAGAGAGAGAGACAGAAAAAGAAATAAAGAAAGAAGATAGAAATTTTGTGGATTTTCATGCATTTATAAGAAATTTTGAGATATAAAAATATATTTGGTAAAGGTAAAGCAATTTTCTATCTAAATACTGTTTTTACTATTACATTTCTGGAAAAGAAAACGAATGCATAAAAATCCGATAAAAATTTAACGATGACGAAGAAGAAAGGAACACAAAATTGTACAAAGTGACCATAATAAAAAATAAAAAATAATAGTAAAAAAAAAAGTTACAAGCTATAAAGCTATAAAAGAAGTTAAAGTACAATTATTCTTATATTATCCAGATACTATTTCTTCAATTGTATTTTAAAAAAGCACGAATTTACACAAAAATCAACGAAGAGAAAGAACAAATAAATATGAAATTCTACGTATAAAATATCCAAGATATTTGCTGCGTAAGACAATTTTTTATCAATTTTTGAAAGAGAGAGACACAAAATATTGAATGTTACTCTGTATAATATTTGCTACGAAAAAAAAATTTTCTATCCACCGTTTCTTCAATCTGTATTTCTAAAGATACAAATCCGCATAAAAATCCGCGATTTGATGACGACAAAGGAGAAGAAGAAGAAGAAGAAGAAGAAAGATGCCTTTTACGAGGGATCGATTTTGTACAGTTTTCAAGTCAGAAATACACCCGCCGAGGGGAAGATTAAAAGATTGGAGAAGGTGGAAGGAGAATGTGGGCGGAAGCTGGGCTTTGGGATAACAACCGATATACAGCTGGAACAAGACGAAGGAACAGGTATTTAAGAAAAAAGACGGATACAAAAAAGGAGCGAACAGCAACAAAGGGGGTAGGGAGGAGAACGGGATTGAGAAAAGGAGAAACGAAAGAGTCCCGTCGTTTATCCGTTGGACGAAAACTTTCTAAACGATCGATCTTTCGAACAGGTTAATTATAAAAAGCGTTCATTCTCGTGAAAAGAAAAAAAAAAAAAAGAAAAAAAAAAAGGAAGAATAAAACGCCTATAACAGATTTGAGGATACAAAGATCTATAGAGTACAGGTGTGTAATAGTCTGTGATATAGAATCTATGAGATAAAATATTCATTAGATGAAACAAATTTGTGTTTCATGTTTTTTATATTTTACTTCTTGCTTAAGGAATGTAGCAGATTTAAGAGTGATCAAGAATCTGCAGAATCGATGGAAAATCTGTGAATGATTCAAAGCAGAGTATTTCAATATTATTAATATTTATTAGACGAAATAAATTTCCATCCTCTTTAATCATATTTGCAAAAATACAAAACTATGAACTATGAGACCGATAGTATTTTCCGCGTTTATGAGTTATACGTTTAAATTGTTTGTTTTGCATAATATGCGAAATCATGTAACATACCGAGGAAGTAGAACATACTTGCTGTAATATTTAGCAACGGGATCAAAATTTTGCTTTAATTGTATTCGTGAGAATAAAGAATTCTCTTTCAATGATCCGCAATCTGATTAATAATAAGAGTGACAATTTCCATCTCTTATTGATGTTCGTGGAACGAACATCAAACGATGTGGCTTCGGTACAAGCGTGATGCCACACTCGCCTTCGAGATCGACGACTTCGTTCGCTGGTACGGATATAGTGAACGCGCGCAGTATCCTCCCGGCGAACAGGAACAGTATCATCCTAGCGAGTTCCTCTCCCACGCAAACGCGTTTTCCTTTGAACACACACACACAAACACACACACACACAATGAAATGAAACGATATCAAAGAGATGAGAGGAAAAGAGGAAGAGAAAGAAATTTGTAAAAAAAGAAATTGCAACGTTCTAAGTATTATAACATCTAACAAAGGTTATTAGAATTCTAAAATCGTGCGTTTTTAATCTATTGAAATATTTATCGAAAAATATAGTAGAAGAAGATGTAGGCATTAAAAGAAGATGTAGCAAGTAGACTGCGTATTTTTTTTATGAGAAACTTAAAGTTGGAAAGTGCATGGAATGCATGTAATGTACAACCGCGGCATAGCATTATCGTGTATTATCGAGCATTATCGAGCGTTAAGAAAACAGAGTTTTCTACGTATCAACCGAACGAACAGAATGAAACAAAGGAACGCAGAAATCGAATGTTATTTCGGAGAAATAAATCAAAAAAAAAAAAAAAAAA